AAAAAAATTTAAAAAAAAAAGCCGTTAGAAAAAATCCCCAACAATAAACCCTAAGTAAACTGTGTGTGTTTCTCTAAAGAAGACATGCAGGTGGCCACATCAGATATGTGAGGAGTTCTCAAGACGACCAGTCGTCAGGGAAATTCATACCCAGCTGTAATGAGACTGTACCTCACACCTCTTAGAATGGCTGTGACACCCCCAAAGGAAAAGATGACAAATTATCAAATTTGGCATGCACATGGAGAGGAGGCAGCCCCGGAGGTTTCTGGTGGGAGTGTAGATCAGTACAGCCACTTTAGAAAACATTTAAAGTAGAACCAACGTAGAATCCAGAAATCCTAGTACTGGGTGCGGCTGAAGGGAGTGACATCAGGATTTTGAGCCCTCCCACGCTCCCGCCGTGTTACTAGCAGTCACTGACTGTGGGAGCACCCAGTGTGGCCATCGAGGGTCGAGTGGGTGAAAAGACCCAGCACGCACCTTCACTGTCCGGCGTCCACGCTTTCGAAGGGCAGCAAAGCTGGAGGGCGGTGTAAGTCAGCCAGACAGAAGGACAGGCACCGTGCGATTCTGCCTTAGGGTGAGTCCGAACAGCAAGACCCAGAAGCAGCACAGAAAGCAGTTTCCAGAGGCTGGGCAGGGAGCCGGCAGGAGTAGTCAGAGCCTACAGGGCTTCAGTTATGTAGAGGGAGTAAGTCCTGGATTTCCACTTACTGCACAGCGCCCGAGGTTACCAACACTGTGTGGTACTTAAACTTCTGCTACAGGCAGATTTTATGTTAAACGCTCTTTCAGGCAGAGAACAAGCACAAAGGGTGAGAAGAGACTTGGAGGCGACGGGTGGGTTTCTGGCTTGGACTGTGGTGCTGGGTGTGGGGGTAAGTGCTCCCTCCAGACTCATCAAATTGTGTATGAAACACATACAGGTTGTTGTATGACAGTCACACTTCAATGAAGTGATTTTTTAAATTTAAGGGATAAGCAGCTGGGTGTGATAGGACAGGCCTATAATCCCAGCACTCTGGGAGGCTGAGGCAGGAGGATCAAAAGTTAGGTGCCAGCCTGGGCACCATAGCAATTTGGAGAGACACTGTCTTGGAGAAGAAATATAAAACAACAACGGGCTGGGGGTACAGCTCAGTGTGAAGTCCTACGACTATTACAGTACTGTGGGCCCCTCCCAAAAGGAATAAGCAGAGTAAAATGGTGGTTGTTTGAGTAACAGCTTTTGATGCCGGTGATTGCAGTTTGGAAGTGAAAGAAGAGGGGGATTCTCATGAAAATATTGTGGTTTGGTTTGCTGGGATTTTAAAAAATCTATGCCAGGGATATAGCTCTTTTCAGCGCTCCTACTGCGGGGTCCAGTCCGTCGTGGGCTGTGGAGAGAGAAGCAGGGTGCGGGGGTGGGTGGGGGCAGCGGCGTGTCTCAAAGTCCGCTCCTTGGAGCACTGGCCTCGGGCAGTGCTTCCTGCAGACCAGAAAGCTTGCCAGGCTCTCCTGGCTCAGGCGTGGCCCTGGGGCAGTGGCAGATGCTGCGTCCTGCCCAGGAAGTCTCCAGGACTCAGGCGGAGCAGAGCATCCCTGGGGCGGGGTCACCCTGCCTCACCCGCGGGCTCCCAGCCGCCTGTGAGCAAGTCTCTGTTCCGTTCTGTGTTGGTGCTGGGGCTGGAGCGCAGGGACCTGTGCGTGCGAGGCGAGCAGCTGCTGCTGAGCGGCAGCCGCATCCTGGGAACAGACTCTTAGCCGAGAGGCGGAAGGGTTCCTAGGCTGGCTTCTGCAGTTTTAGTGGGAAACTTGCTTAAACATACATGCCAAAAGCCAGTTGGAATAACCCCTCTGTTCGCTGGCAGTTAATTCTTGATGAAGGTGCCCAAACGCAATTGGAACAGAACAGTCTCTTCAATAAAGGCTGCTGGAAAAACTGATGTCCACACACACAGGATGAGGTCGGGCCTCTGTCTCTCACCACGTTACAAATCATTTCAAAGTAGGTGACGAAGGTAAGCGTGACACCCGAAGCTAGCACTCTTGGAGGAGTGTGGCGCACGCTGCGTGGCCTTGGTCTGCAGCGCCTTCTGCAGTGAGACTCCCCGGGACTGTGCGCGTGGAGTCCGGCACACCGAGAGGCGGCACAGGGCAGCGACAGCAGAGCGGAGGGCACCCCAGCACGGGAGGAACATGTGCGCGGCTGGCCAGGGGCTCCCGTCCGGATACGTGAGGGACCGGGCGGCTTCCTGGGCTGTACACGCAGAGGGTTTCACACCTGGCAAAGGAGCTGAGGAAGCATTTCTCAAAAAGTGATGTGGGAACCTCCAGCATCACCGGTCACAAGTGCTCATCAGTCACCTCACCCGTCAGCAGCGGTGGCCCAAGAGATAAAGGGTAGCAAGCACCAGGGCCGTGTGGGAGCAGGGAGGCCTCGGCACCATTGCTGGGGTGGGAGTTGGTGCTGTGCTGTGGAAAGCAGCGTGGTGGACTCTGGAAACCTGAGGGTGTGTTCTGTCTGTAGAGGACCAGCACTCCTTTCCAAAGCACTTTTTTTTTGGTCCTAGGGATTGAACCCAAGGAGCTACATCTCTGCTGTCTTTTAAAATTTTCTCAGGAGACAGGGATCTAGCTGTGCAGCCCAGGCTGGCCTCACACTCGCTATCCTCCTGCCTCAGCCTCCCGAGTAGTGAGATTACGGGTGTGTGCTACACGTCTGGCTCTGTAGCAGCTTGCACCTGTTACCTCACGTGGCTAAGCGGCATCTTCACCTGTCATGCTATAGACAGATGATCCTCTTGTGGTCCACTCGACGCCGTATTTTTAGCATCCTTGTTATTTATTGATGTGGCGGTTCTGTTCTGTGTTCACACCCCGGTGCAGGCCGGCTGGGTGTGCCCTCTGGAGGATATGCGCGTGTCCTGGAGGCTGTGTGTAGGCATGGGCTTGGTGCCACCCCTGACCAGGTTGGTCAGTCAGCTGCCAGCTGGGGGGGAGGCTGGCACAGAGGGGCACACAGATGGGTTGGTGCCAATTGCTGCGTGAAGGTCTTGTCCCGGACCCTGAACTCCCCCTTGGAGCAGTGGCCGAGCGTCCAGCACTTCAGTGTTGTGGCAGCTGAACTCTCACGAACAGTACTTTCCTGTGTTCCCAGCGTACCAAGGGCAGCACCTCCTGGCGTAAAGACTCAGGGTGTTCACAGTCACCCTCCTCTCAGCTTCCTTCTGTCCCGTAGTCGTACTGTACTTTGTCGTTTCGGCGGGGTAGTGGACACGCTGAAGTAAGGTCAGTGTGTTTAAAGAGAACAGCCACAGGTCTCTTTTTAGTGGTTATAGCCCTTACAACAACATGAAATATTCTTGGTGACTTCATTATAAATTCAGTGAAAAGTTTGGTTTTGAACTCTAGATGAAACTGTCTTTCAAATTTATTTTATCAGACGGTAGTATTCTCGGCTCTGTGGCAGGCCTCTCTTTTGCATCAACTCGACTCTGTTATTATGGTATAAAAGGAGCCAATATAGAAAGGATGATTGTAGCTCTGTTTAAATAAAACTTTATTTATAAAAGCAGGCTGAGCACCATATTTGGCCTGCAGGCTGTAGCTTGCTGATCCTTGATTTAATGTAATGCTGACCCTTAATTTCTGATACTACTGATCATATTAGAGAAATACTGTTTAATTCTGAGTTTGCTGGAAGACCCATAAGCCACTGAAACAACAGAAATTCTCTCCATAACTATACTTCTTTGTTGCTGTCCAAGTAGTTCTAATAAAAGCACATGGAGAGCATTTATTAGGTGCTAAGCTCTGTGGCAACTACTTCAGGTACATTTTCTCAGTGTAGCCCAATGAGACAGCTGCCATGAGAATTATCTCCTTTTTTAGGGACAGAAAGCAAGGCTTGCAGAGGCGAAGAACTCACTCATTGCTACAGAATTAGGAAGTGGCGTGGCCTGGCCCAGGACCACTTCTCCTCTCCATGCCCCCTCCCTGAGGGTTTGCCCTCACAGCCCCTGTACAGTGGTTTGCCTGGCCCTTGTCATCTGATGTTTTGCTGGTTTGAGGATGTTGATTCGAACATTAAAAGTTGTCGTACAGCACTGTTCAGTTTTCCTGTTAATTCAGTGGCTAAGGCGCTGGAGGAGTATGGGTTTAGCTGATTCTTTAACTAGTTGCTCAGAATCAGCTCGTTTCTATCGCCTGTGTAGGCTGAGAGGGGCCCACAGACTCCGGAGCCTTGCCGTGTTCCTCTGCTGGGGGGTTGTTTCTCTGTACTGGGTAACTAGGACACTTCGCTCTGCGCTGCTCTCTTTCTACCCCAGGCAGAGGGTTAGAAAGCCCTGGTCTGGGGCGGTGTCACCGGTACCACCCTGAGCAGGCCATGCCCTTGGGAAACTTAGTAACCTGCCAGGCCCAGAAGGCATGTGGTGCTGTCTGTAGCTCATGGAATGAGCAGAGAAGCTGGCCTTGCACAGCATGAGGCTGTGGGATGCCGGCCACCGTGAGCACTGGGAGAAGGGGCTCCCAGCTTCAGAGTGGGGGTAACTTACCTCATGTCGCACTGCCCTCCTGCACCGCCTTTACGCTTAGCTCTCATGTACCCGATCAGCATCTTATTCTGGTCTAGCTTTGGCAGGTACAACCAGGATCCCCAAACAATGACTTTTTAAAAGCTGCAAGCGACAGGCCCCCTGCTAAGTATTCCCTATGTGGGTGCTGTTGCACCACTGCCAGCCTGTGGGGTGGCTGGGGAGAGGCCCTCAGAGCAGGCCCCCTGCTGAGTCAGGAGCAGGACTCTCCAGGGGCCAGCATTTTGGGAAGGACCATGACAGACAGGGAAGGTGAGGTGTTTTGGGCGTAATGTGCGTGTTTGATACGACCGGAGGGGGTGAGGTCGAGGAGGTGCTGAGTGCAAAGGTGGGGGCCCGACTGAGGAGTAAGCGTGTGGCGGGAGGCTCGGGCGTTGCTCCTGGCTGGTGCCTGATGGGCGTGCGCCTTCTGCCTTGCAGCCTTCTCCTGCTCCTCCGGGGAGTACCTGGAGATGCGGAACCAGGTGTGCAGCAAGTGCGCCGAGGGCTCCTACTCCCTGGGCAGCGGCATCAAGTTTGACGAGTGGGACGAGCTGCCGGCGGGGTTCTCCAACGTGGCGACCTTCATGGACACGGTGGTGGGGCCCTCGGACAGCAGGCCTGGCAGCTGCAGCAAGTAAGACCCAGGAAGCCGGGCGGGACCCGGGGCTTGAGAGGGGTTGCCGAGGACAACCCTGGCCCTGCTGGGCCAGGACAGAAGCTAATTGTAAAGAGGCACACTGGTGGCCTGTCCTTACAGATCACGCAGCTGCCTTTGCATGAAGTTAAAACGACGGCCCTCAGGGTAGAGTTGGTGCTGTGTGCACACGGCAGCGCGGCAGTCAGAGAAGCAAGCCCACTCTCTCGTAATGTAACTACGCTGAAGTCCGTGGTGCTTCTGCTAACCATCCTCCACCTTCTAATGGGGAATTTCAGGTTCTCCTTTGGAGGGAAGAATACATCACCCTCACCAGGACCGACTCCCCTGCGTGGGAGTGGGTAGGGCCCAGGTGGAAGCTGTTTGCTTGGTTCCTGGAGAGTTGCTGGCCTTCCCTGGACGGCACTGCAGGGTTGTTTGATGGCGTGAAACAAAGCAGTGTTTTCTTTGGGCTGTGGCTTCCTGTTCTCCCATGGTAGCTGTGGGCCTTTTCCTTTCATGTGGCTGTGTGTGGAGGCTGAACCTCAGGCCCTGGGAGGCCTTCTCACCAGAGCGCTCTCTCAGGAGCTCCACTCTTCCTCCACAGTCTGAGGATGCCAGAAAGGTTCTGCTGTGAGGCCAGACACCCACCCGCCCCTGGTCCCTGGCCCCTGGCCCCTGGCCCCTGGCCCCTGGCCCCTGGCCGGCCTCTGCCGCAGCCTGCCTCCTCCTGCTCTCTCCTGCGCGTGCCTGTTTCTGTGTGTCACCCACTGCCTTCCAAGGGTCTCCTTCCCTGTGACCGCTCGGGACTGTGTCACGCACAGAGGCAAGGGCTGATCTGGGTCACAGTTCAGTTCCCAGAGCTGGTTGTGGCATCTGCCTGGCTTCCCAAGAGGGATTCACACAGCTACAGCCTTGGTCCTGAGGAAGAACAGGCTGATGTACCAGGGGCGGGGGGCAAACCCAGCCCCAAGGCTCAGCACACGGAGCACAATTCCCAGGACCAATGGCCACCTCCTGACCACAGTACTCTGAGAGTTTGCACAGAGCTGTCCATGCTGTCTCGGCGTTCTCACTGTGCTCCTCAGTGCACTCTCTGTGCTCTCAGTTCTCTCTCCGCGCTCGCCCAGTGCCCTCTCAGTGCCCCTCAGTGCCCTCTCAGTTCTCAGTGCCCCTCAGTGCCTTCTCAGTGCTCTCTCAGTTCACTCAGTTCTCTCAGTT